ACGTTTTTGTGGTGTTGAGTAACTTACTTTATACTTGCTTTCATGGTTGACAGAGAACTGTTAAAGTTTTATATTCAGGTAGTATGTGCAATGGCGTTAAAGTCAATACATTTTCTTTTTATTCTTTTAAAGTAAAGTTGCACGTCTGTTCGTGAAAAAGTCATATTCTTCTTTGTTTATGAAACTTTGTTTTAATTGTAAGATAAATGAAGACGTTCTATATCACAACGGCTAAATCTGTGTCTGTATTGACACTGAAGCTGTCACAGGTCGGTTCTATTGATCGGGAACTGAGTTATCACATTCCGCCGATCGCTCAGTGAGAGCGGTGACTGTCAGCCACCGCTCCTCGCAGGGACATAGCTCTCCGATCCTCCAGAGCTGACTGGAGGGACAGACAGGGGACGAGGCGGGCACAGCTGACTTTGGTTCTAGAGAGATGCAGAGCCAGCTGTCAATCAGTGCGGTGGATCACGACACTATTATCGGGATCTGTCCCGGCTACACCGTGGGTCTACAGAAATGTATCTTATTTGTCTATCACTCAGCTGTAGATCCTCAAATCATCCCTGAATTGGTGCTGACACTGTCCTTCCTTCCTACCATGGGGAACAAAAGTAGCCACCCTCCAGAAGGAAGGACAGTGTCAGAATGAATTCAGAGATGATTTGAGGATCTACAGCCGAGTGATACACAAATAAGATACATTTGTGTTAATAGTTAAGGTACTTGAATGTATTTTTAAGATTTAACTTCTGAGTTTAGTGTCCCTTTAACACTACTGCTGCTCCGAATAAATCAGGTGCAGATATTTTCCCCCCGTGTATGCACCTTCTGACCCGGCACATGACATCCTACCGTTTGACCATGCTTTAATTCCCAGCTACTGCAGCTGCTGATAGTCTGTGCTACATGTGCGTTTTGATAATGGCACTGGGGACCAGAAAAGTCATGTGACCTACAAGCTTCGGGATGATTGCTTTCACATCTGAGATTGTTATCAGTAATGTCAAAATAGGCTGGAGATTGCAAGGAAGATTGGACTGCCATATTTAATAGTTGTATATGTTTTGGAGCAACAAAAATCTGAAGCATTAGTTAACAAAGCTCCCCACTTGCGGATAATTGTTTTTTATTTCTAGAAAGGAAAAAGGAAATAAACGCATGGCGGGCGAACAGACTGATGCACACCAAAACTTGCATTCATTTCTACATGCCTGCTTAATTAGTACTTCCTGCGAAAAGTTAGTATAGGTGATGTACGTCCAGGGCTGGACAAATCCCAGGAGCCAGGTAGCCAAAGCCTCTTAAAAATTACAGCTGGCGCTCAATCTTTGAGGTTTTCTCTGTTTGCGTCAATGGAGCTGGCTCCTTAATATAATCCTGCAGGTGTCTGCATTGGGCAGACTGACTCCTGAATTCCATTTTAATATTTTAATTTGTCTTCTCCTGTGCACACCAATTCAATCATCTGTTGGATGGTAGTGGGCCAGGTTCGATCCACTGGGACCTGTTTCCATTTTCTCCTTCCCCTCTCCTGCATTACTGCACCTCAATGGCAGTCCATGCACATCCCCCCTCTCCTTCCCTTGCTGCAGTGCTGATCGTCTCCGTCACCCCTCCTCACTACAGTATTTACACCACTCTGATAATAGTGTAAACTTTAGAACAGTAGCACAAAGTGCTTAATTATTCTGGCCCATACAATCAGACATTTATGGAAACTGTCACACTTTTAATGTGATTTGGTACAGCTGTTGGAACACCATGTAAGACTTGCCTAGAACATTATTAATGTGGTACATAGAACATCTCTGCTCAGAATTTCACGTCACAACATGCAGTTAAGGATTATTTGAAGAATGGCCAACTCTTGTCATGGACATTTGTCAAAAGATCTGCTCAGTAAAATGCAACTGGCTACCTAATAGTTGTTGAGGTAGGAATCTTAGAACCCGCAGATGGAAAAGTATTGCTGCATTAGGTTAAAGATAACCACCATTTACGCCTCCGCATTTTCCTGTGAAGTCATATTTCACTAAATAAATACCAAAAAGCTTTGCCCCCCCCCCCTTTCTCCCCCTAAAGTTTTAGGGCTTTTTTAGTTTTGTATTGAAGATGTCTTGATTATGTTACCAAATCCTGCAAGCTTTCCTACTCTAACACATCCAAATTTTTTTTTGGGGGGGGGACAGATATGGTTTTAATTTTAAAACAGATTTGAATACATATATTTGTATTTCCATAGTTTTAATCAGCAATTAGACAAAATTAGAAAATAAAAAACACACTTTCCTGTCATTTTTTTCCAGTGCAACTTTACAGTGACCCTAAAATCAGGAGATTAAATCTTAAAAATATATTCAAGTACCTTAAAGAAAACGTGTCTTACTTGTGTATCACTCAGCTGTAGATCCTCAAATCATCTCTGAATTGGTGCTGACACTGTCCTTCCTTCTGGATGGTGACTACTTTTGTTCCCCATGGTCCCTGTGTGTGTTGTAAAGTAGCCACCGCTCCAAGCTCACTCCTGTGATGGACTACAATTTCACATCTAGTTTAATAATTTGTATTGAGATTGTAGTCCATCGCAGGAGTGAGCTTGGGGCGGTGACTACTTTACAACACACACAGGGAACATAGGGAACAAAAGTAGCCACCCTCCAGAAGGAAGGACAGTGTCAGCACCAATTCAGAGATGATTTGAGGATCTACAGCTGAGTACACAAGTAAGCTACATTTTTGTTAATAGTAAAAGTAGCTGTCAGTCACGCAGCTTGGCGGATCCAGACATAATTGTCCGGATCCGCTTCAGCTGCGGCGTCTTAGCATACAGCGAGCAGCTGCTCGCAGTATACTGCGGCGTCTCAGTATACCGCAAGCTACAGCTCACAGTATACTGAGCATAGGGTGACAGGAGGACGCTAGTTTGTGTCCTCCCGTTACCCTAAGGAAAACTATGGGGAAAAGCCTTAACCCCATAGTTCTCCTTTAAGGTACTTGAATACATTTTAAGTTTAACTCCTGAGTTTATTGTCAGTTTAACATAACTCATGCCACTCCCAGATGAAAAAAGAATCTGTTTGTGCACATTGTTAGCACAACATTATCAGAAAATAAAGTTAAGTTTGCACAGATCTGCAATTGCTAAAACGTTGCCTGATGTTGCCCATGCTTATGCGTTTGATGTCATCCAGAGTATCCAATCAATTTGGGATTTTGTTTTTAAATTATTACATTTGTTTCACTTTTCTTGTGAACAGTCTGAATCAGGCCAAGGAAGACATGGTCCAGATGCCTATGCACCTCCGCAGCATCAGACCACTGATGATAGTGAACTATGGCTATCTGTGATCTATTGCTAAAGAGGAAGGCATGGCAGAGCATGGATTAGTTCCGTCTTAGTTAAAAGATGGCTGCTATAGTCATAGATTAAATTATAACACTTCTTTACACACAATGTATAAGCACTGTGTTGCACTGCGTTCTAGCAGGATTACAAGTGCTGAAACCACCAGTACTTCCCACAGCCATAGAGAATGGGTTCAAATGGTTAAACTCTCACTCATATTCAGAGAAAGGGTCAGTCATACATTGGTGTTGCTGTGCACTTCAATGTTGTTGTCTTCTCCCAAACCACTGTATGCAGTCACAGCCATCATTCAAGAACAATACAAAGATTTTCAGTACTCATTCCAACTAGTTAGGACAGAAAACCTTATTACAAACTGTCCTAAACATTTAGAATAAAAACAGCAAATATTTATAAAGACACAGTATGTGCTGCAAGGTTCCCAGCCTCATACTATCTGAGCTTCCAGCCTAGAACGTATATATAGCAATAAATACACTGAGAGGAGGCATATGTTGGAGGCAGTGTTTTCCTCCCTAAAGATACAGCAGTAAACTAGAAGTTTAGATTAGCAGAAACTAGTTAAAGACCTCCAAGGTGCTTTTCACGTTAAAAAACAGCAGCTGCACAGATCAATTTATGATTATGGGGTAATACACCAAATATAAAATTCCTCAGCTCAAAACCCAATACACCTACTCAGCACTAAAAAAAAAATAAACCTGGTTCTCACACCTTTTCTTTGAAAGTTATACATAGTAGTGAGCCTGGTGCAAACTCAGTTCAACCTAAATTCACCCAAACCTGTTCAAAACTGTGATCTCTGCTTCATCAGCTTCTTTGGGGTCCCTAAGACCCCTGATATCTCCATAAAGAGGACCTGTCACATTATATTTGCTATTACATAGGGGGCTTGTTATCCCCCTATGTGATAGCAATAAAGTTGTGTTTAAAGAAAAAGCAAAAAAAAAAAAAAAAATTAAACATATATATATTTAAGTCCCCTGCCCCCCCACACATACAACGCAAACATGTCGGGTGTGCCAACCTGCAAAAACAAAACCTGCGCCACACGTTACATATCGGAGCGACAGCAATAATTCTGGGGCAATCACTGTTAATCTAACCTGATGAGCAGTAAAAGCTTTTAAAGCGTCGCCTAAGAGAAATTATTGGTATTGTAGTTTTTCGCGGTTTCACGGGCGAACCCAATTCTAAAGCTTGACATATTTGGTATCTCTTTAACCAGCGTGAGCCCGACTTTTATATTTTACCAAAAATGGGTATTGGTTTCTGTACACTAAATTTTATTTTTGTGCATTTTATCCAAAAAGTACTGGTTTGAAAAACATTTGTGCAAATACCGTGCAACATAAAAAATTGCAACTAGCATTTTTTTTATTCTACAGGGCCTCTGCTTTCAGAAAATCTATCATTGTTTGGGGGTCTAAAACTGTTTTCTAGCCAAAAATTCACATGGTATCATGCGAGTGCAAATATTAAGAAATTGCTCCAGACAGCAAGTGGTTAATAAGTCCAATTATTATTTAGTCTAAGTTAAGGAACGATATCTTGTCACCAGCAGTTACCCAGCATTACAGGCAAGAATTCTAAAACCATGTACAATTATTGTGAATAGTTGACTCACCCACATAAAGTGTACAGTTAGAGTGTACTAGGCTCTCAGTCCACAGTCGGCAGCTCTCGCTCTCTGTTAGTGACTCCACCCCATAACAATACTGGTAATCCATTTTAGTGAGCACAAAAACAGGAGTTTGCTAAGAAAGAAAAGAAAAATCCTTAATCACCAAACAAGTCATCATATTAAGGAATAAAATCAGGGATAAAAGAAGCAGCACAGAAAGTGACAAACATGTTTTGCTGGTGACCTTAGCATAATCTCCTTAATCAACATTGCCAAACCTTTCAACACACTTTGGCACCAGTGACCTTACCTTTTACTAAACACAAAAAGCGAGAGAGTAGAGTGAAGAATCAGTCATCGTTATACCTTTTCTGTCAACGATAAGTGACAAACCAAGCTGTGAAAATAAATCTGAATAGCGCTATCATTGCTAGAAGCAACACTGTACTTATAGTGCAGAATTAAGTGGGAACCTTTAATTTGTACTACTGAGAATTAACTGAATTTCAGTATAATAAGCTATCTGATCCCTATCTGTGCACACCAAATGCCTTTGCAAACACAGAGATTACCTTGTAAAAGTAGTAGGGACATCATCAGTGTGCTGCACATAGCCTGTAGAGAGCAGGGCTGTGACCCAGTAGGCTCCACCCACTGCAGGGTGTCTGCAGAAAACTACAAGGGGGTGGATACAGGACCAGTCCCCCTGCACAAGAAGAGAGAGCAGCAGTGACTGGTCTTTATTACAGGAAACTCCTGCACAAAGGCAACGTTTCACACTGGATTACTGCACAAATCAGGAAGAAATAAACAAAGGGGACCAAGATTCAAGAATACACATGTCTCTAGTATTTAGGCAATATTTGCTTATCCCAGAGTTCAGCTTTCACACGCATGTCTAGGCCATACCATTGTAGATGTTTATGAAATGAACATGTACACATTAAAGTGACATTAAAAGGCAAAACATTTTTTCCCTCCCCCCAATGTTAATGTTAGCACTTACCTTAAATTATGTCTCTTTTTCCGATCTTCCTCTTCTTTCCTGATGTTTTCAGCCTTCTCTCCAGCGGTGCGGCGGCTTCTTCGATCCAGCTCTTACTGCTCTGTCCCTCCAATCCCGCGGTGTCTGCATGCGGGTGCACGCGTCCATAGACTTACCTTGCGTCCCTCATCGCGTCCCTACCGAAAATGAGAACTGCGCATGCGCGCGCCCCAAGATCCTTAGCGGCCGTTCGAGAAATTTCTCATTTTCGGACGGGGCCGTGCACGGAACACAGGGTAAGTTTAAAGTGCTGGTGGAGCGGGGGTTTTTTTTTTTTTTTTTTCAACTTTTTGCATATAGCTACTGCTTGCTAGCAGTAGCTATATGCAAAAAAAACAGGAGGGTTTAAATATCCTTTAATGGAATGAAAATTTACACAACTGCTCAGTGGTCTACCTTTCCTCTGTTTCATCACTGTTAAAAGGTGGAACGATGTGTTGCACATTAGCTTTGCATTTTTGTTATCGTTTTCTAGACTATATAGCTTTGAAAAGATACAGCTGGTAGAACAGACTGATAAATAGAGACAACCCACCTTTTTGGTTACTTTAAGTGAACTTCGTTTCCTTCCTGTAAGGACAGTATGAACAGAGCCCTGAAGCAGCAGGAGAATGTCATCCAGGCTGAAGAGTTTGTATACAAGGTTCTCATCTGCTTCCACTGTGTACTCATTCTCATCCTCTTCTAAGGCCAAGAGATCATTAGACAGCAAAACTAGAAGGAAAAGACAATTATAAGACATTAGCATTTCAATGAGCAATATATATAAAATTACATGGCAAATGGTAAAACTGGAAAAGCCAAGCATAGCCATTAAGAAAAGGCTTCATTGGTCAGATATGGCCATGAAGAAGACCATACAGCATATGACAACCTGGATATATGGAGCTTGCACTAATGTTCAGTTTATCTTGGTTCCGATAAAAGCACTTAAACAAGGTGCTTGGGATAATTCAGATGTATATGGGAACCTTCAAGAATGGTCTGCCGTGACATACACATCATACAACTGCTACTGAATATAATATAATTGGTGTGGCTACTCACAAATGACACAGAATGGCTGCAGAGCTTTATAAGCAGCCAGGCCAAACATTCAAGATATAATGATCACCGTCCCCACAGTTGTAATTCATGGTACTAGTAGCTATATTAAAATGGAACTACAACCAGAATATTGTTCTAGTTTTGGGTGACGTGAAGAAGGGTTAAAACTTCTACTGTCTGTTTTTTTATTTCAGATATTGAATTTCTGCCCTGGTGACCATGGCTACTGGGACAGAAAGTGAGAGGAAATCTACATTTTTGCACCCATCTGGAACAGGAACTAAGGGAATAATTCCTAATGGAGAAACCTGTTTCAGTGACAACTGTCAAAGGTGGGATTTCTCCTCTCACTTCATGTAGTGTAACTGGGAAAGGAAGTGAGGTTAGAGACAACGGTTTTAACCCTTCCATTTTAAAGGCTGTAATATACAATTAGTATTATGGCGAGATATTGGTAAAGAAAACAAAAACACATGGGTGTCAACTGCTACATTCTCCATTACCCCTGGAGCAATCAGTAGTCTCTTTTCTCTGAGTCTCCTGTGATGAATCAGAAACCAAAACAACTGAAGACTGGCATTGCACTGGGTTTTGAGGCAGCTGTTCATTCTTCCCTGCATTTTCTGTGCTTGTCCGTTCCATCTTATTTGCCCCAGGTTTCAGAAGCTCTGCTTGCATCTTCAAAATCTGCCCCAGTGGGCCAACATCACTTGAAACCTTCCTAGATGTCTTTTTGGGTAGCTTCTGATGTGCTTGTACAGGTGTGGATGTGGTGGCCTTGCTCACTGAAGGAGGGATCATCTCAATTCTTTTGTCAAAGTTATCATCAATCACAAGTCTCTCCTCATCAGAGTCACTCTGAGTCTCAATGCTGGTGGAGGACAGGGCTCCTATTTGTGACTTACTGCTTGTTTCAGACATATCCGAGTCCTGACAACTGCTCTTTTCTTCTCGGATTCTCTTTGAATCAATGCCTTGAAAAGAAAATGCATAGGGTCTGATGTATTAATATGTTCTTACCAAGAACTAGGGTTACCTTCCCCAAGTCAACGTCTCAAACTAATTGGCAGCTCTGGGGAAATACATTGACATATCAAGTCTATGGCATCTACAGTATATTGTATTAAAGACACCATACATCAATTACAAAGTGTAGCATTCATGACTCTAGATTACCTAGCTTTACTTGCTGTGTGTTAATAGTCTCCTTCTTGTCTAGCTGGGAGTTGGTAGGATGCTGTAATAAGAAATCTGGAGACCTGCCGTCAGACTTTGCAGCATTTGATTTATCAACGTTCATAGATCCAAATGTTTCCAGTTCTGTCACATCGGTTTCGAAATCTACTTCTTTGCTGTCACATGCAGGTTTCCTATGTGCATACGCTCTGTCAGCCTGAAGGAGTAACAAAAAGAAGAAATACAAATGTTATGAATACATAAGGAGTTAAAGCTGATCTCCAGCCTGACCTGCTAGCACAGTTGTACAGGCTCCTCTCTTGTACTAAAATTGCTTACACTGATCTCGCTGCACACTCACAGTGTGCAATAGAAGCTGCAGTAAGTCAGACAGAACCCATCAAGTCTCCTAGCTAGAGGAAATCCAGCATCCCCAGGCTCTATTTTCCACCGCCTTACTGTCCCTGGCCCACCCTTTCATTCATTGGATTTCAGTTCTTTCAATCATGGAGGCTCAACATTATATGTGGATGTTATTTAGGACTGCCTGCCCCACCGCAACACACCTGCAGTGTCTCATCGAAGAGATGTGAATGGAGCCTTAAGATGCCCATACACCTTACGAATATTGGCCAATTTCCGTATGCAATCGCGTTTTCGTCCGATATTTGTACGGTTGATGGGCAGTGTACAACCGCAAATACTGTACAATCGATCGACTTTTGACTAACCAGCAGGTTAGAAAGCGTCAGTCGATCGTACGATTTTCACAAGGATGGTGGCGTTTCCGTACGTCAAAATTCTTATGATTTACAGTGCACATGCGCAGACGAAAATACGTGTGGTCGATTACCACAATTTGTCCAGGTGCTTTCTTCTAATTACTGCTGATCCAACCTTGCGATAATCGGGGCAGAATGGGGCCGCCGTACGAAAATCATACGACGGTTCAATCATCGGACGGAAAGTTTCGTCCGATGATCGCAAGGTGTATGGGCAGCCTTAGGGCCCATTCCCAGTTATTGAAAACACATGTCAATGAGTGCACTTTGAGGTGCATGAATGTGCATTTTTTTGGATGTATTGAAGTGCAGTGCAAAGTACATTATAATGTGTGCAAAGGATCAGTGATGCACATTTTCATCAATTACAATGGAAAATGCATGAGCAAAAAATAGCTGTGAATGCACTTTTAAAGTAAATTCCTATAAGGGACCTCCTATTTAAAGTCGGATTGTCATGCTTGATACTGAACACAATTCATTTAGCAAATGAGGATCACAAAAGCAATACAAAACAAAGTCTGTCTAAGGTTCATTCATTTCAGCTTTTAACCTCCTAGCTGAAAGTTCTGCTTCTGTATAGCGCAAGTGCCACCTAGTGGAGTCTAATTGATAAGCATCTCTAGGGTTCTGGAATTCCAGTACAAACACATCTAATGTTTCACGTTGAGGCCTTCTTCATACAGGTGATCAGTTAGTGTTCCCTAGCAAATAAGCAGCTTCAGGATGTACTTTCCAAGGTCACCGAGACTGCTCTTGTGTTGTGCATACCCAAAAGGTGCATTACCCTTCAGGTTGCAGAATACTATGCCATCCCACTTCTACAAGTGGTTCCTTCTACCATACAACTATTTGGAATCTTAGTGAAATGCTGTTTCATGTAACAGGGGTGCTGGATGCAAATCTACATGCATACAAGCTTTTAAAGATTGGTGGTCATAAGGCAAGCACCATTAAAATGGACTAAGGAAGGACATACCTGAAACCTTGGATACAACTTCTAACAATTCTGAACTTAACCAAAAAAAAAAAAATGTTTTTGCTTGCTCTCTCCGTCCCCAATGGATATAATTAACATCACTTCCTGTCCCTGGGAAACCTCCAACTACCTGGACAGAAAGAGCAAGGAATTCCCCTCAGTGGAGCAACAGACAGGAACATAAATTCTTCCATTGTCCTTCTAAATTACACTAGAGTTAGACCAAAATGAAAATTTTAAAACCGAAATGAAAAAAAATGTCTGACCGAAAATGTTTTGAAAATATTTTTTAAATGTATTTTTATTTATTTATTTTCTATTAAATATTTGTATTTTTTATTTTACTTTTCGGGGCTTCGGGGAAATATTAGGGATCTAAACAGACCTCTGATATTTCCCTTTTAAAAAAGAAAAAGAGATTGAGTCCTCAATCTCTTTTTCTGCATCCCCTGTTATAAATGAACAGGAATCCTCTATGAGTGTTCCTGTTCATTTATAACATGAGGACAGAGTATGTTTGCTATATCCACAATCATGAATGACCAAGAGGTGATGAAGATCACTTCCCATTCATTCATAATTGAGGATATAGTAACCTAACCCTGCCATGTCCTCAATTATCTACAAACACTCAGCGCTCAATGATCGTTGAGTGCTTGTACCACGCTCTGCTTCCTGACACGCTGTCACAGGAGGCTGATCGAGCGGTCCGGGAGCGGAGCCTCGATCAGCGCTGGCTGTCTCCGCCCACACTGCTCTCCTGTGATCTGTGACAGGAGGCTGAGCGGTGCGAGGAGAGACACCGGCCGCTCACAGTGCTCTACTCCTGCAGTGCTCGGCCGGCTTTCAGTTTCTCTCCTCCACGCTGGGACACAGAGCAGCGCCCAGCGGGGGAGGAAAGAAAGAACGGATGCACCACTATATCGGCAGAAAAATGGCACTTACAACTTTTAACCAAAAGTGACATTTTCGGCCGATATATCGGTGCCTCCCTACAAAAAACATAATTTAATATCTATGGTGGGACACAATACAAAGCTGCTTCTACAACCACTGTTAACAATCCTCCCTTAAAATAAACACCATATATGTTTTTACATTTTGGGTAGAGCAGAGAAGGATCAGAATCTCTGACAGGTCCACAACAATTACCCTTCCATTCCAAGACAGTAGGGGAGTAGAAATCTCACCCCAAATGAGAGGAAATCTGACAGCTGTCCCCTGGAACAAGGCTGTAGGAGTTACATTGGAAGAAACAGGAAATCTCAACATGTTTCACTTTTATACAAGATACACGAGAAGTGTCACAGCTAATGAAAACTCAAGCAGACTTCAGAATAGAATAGTCACCAACTATAAGCAGGCCTACTGACTGCTTAGCTTACAGCATGTTACAGCATGTTACAGCAGTTAACTTCTCTTGTTTGCTCTCCTTGTGGTCTGTTAAATACACCATTGAAAGTGTTTTGTCACATCGGTTTAAAAAGTGCAAAACCATTCCTGTTCATCCTGCCAGAAATCTTGTCAGCTGATAACCTCCTGTGCTACATTCTTATCAGTTACATTGTACTCTGTTAGCTCTGAGCACTACGGAGCCCATCCCCCCTCTGTTATAATAAAATGTAGAGGGGTAGATTTCAGTAGTCCTGTCCTAGCATTTCAATGTTGCTTCTCCACAGATACATACAGGGAATGGGCATTGTCACTCTAGGACAGGAAGTGTGTTACTGGCACATTCACCAGGTAAAAATAAAGGAAAAGAAGCCTGAAAAAAAGAAAACAAATGCAGCCACAACATCTAAGAACTGATAAGCTGCAATATATAAAACACTGTTGTTCTTTGGTTTATATCTTGAGACTCAAATGGTTGCTATTGGCAACTGTTGCTCTTCTACTGCAGTTTGTATAATTCAGCTTCAACATTAATGAATGAATGACGAGAATAAACAACGTAGAACAAATACTCACAAGCCTCTCCTCCTCTTGCCTGTCCAGTGACACAGCTTTTAAAACCACTTGAGAATTCTTCAGCATGAACTTGTCCAAAATGACCTCATGAAATATTTGGCTCTTCTCTCTTGTGCTGAGCGCTTTCTTGGGAAGCGGAGAATCCACATACACAACTTTTGAGGGCTTGTCACCTGACGAGAATGAGAATTGAGAGCAGTGACATTCTGAAATCCTGCAGATGTTGAGTCTTTGCTTCCAGAATAGGAGAAGAGAGCTCTTAGCACCCGTGCCAAGAGCCGAAAAATACACAATAGTGCAACACTATCCCTTTAAATAGCTCATAAAATTAGGCAAACAAATTTCTCAAGTCATACTCATATATAAATAAACTATTATAAAACCAACACACAATGTAAATTATTAATAAAAATTAGATGAGAACAATATCTGTGCGTCAATATATAAAGTACAATACAAATAAGATGCATAGAAAACAATAAAATGCCTCTAAAGTAGGGAAGCACCAATACCGGTATTTCGGTATCGAGTAACGATTTTTTTTTTTCCCCCGTACTCGCCGATACTGAATACCGAGTCCCGGAAGTCCTATTCAGGAAGCTAGGCGGCGTGTAATGACTCGCCACCAGGCTTCCCAATTAGCAGGGAAGCCGTCCCCATACTTCTCGTCATTAGGTGACGAGAAAGCATTGAGCCGGCCTTCTGGCCAATCAGGAACCTGGGTGCTGTGATGAGGGAGCATGAAGCCGGCTTCCCGGCCAATCAGAAAGCCGGGTGCCGCGTCATTACAAAGCGCCTGGCTTCCTGATACCGGAAGTATCGGGCTAGGCATCGGAACATTTGGACAAGTACTCGGCCAAATACTCTGCCTCACCACCGATACTAGAATCGGTATTGGCGCATCCCTACTCTAAAGTGATTGACAGTGTAATATTTCAATGACCCCACAGATCTGTGACAACTCTGCCTCCCCCAACAGACTCTTTAGGGCCTATTCAATACCTCAGTAGGACTTAAACTCACCCTCTATGGTGGACCTCTTAAAAGTAATATAAGATTTGAAGTAGTGGCATTGACACCACATAGGGCGGAGTTTGGCGTAATATCAGCATGCCTGAAGTGCTGTATAGTAGACTCGAAGGATTCTGCTGTTCTAGCACCAATGGAGATGTTATATCTGAGAAATATCACACCGTCAATCATTTTGGAGAACTTTACGATTGCATTTATATTGGGGGCACTTTATTGTATTTACATTCACGTTGGTTTGTGTTGGTTTTATATTATTTCACTTATAGGAGTATCATCACCTGATTATATCAGCTATTTAAATAAATAGCACGGCATTATTATTATTTTTAAAAAACACATTAAATGTTTAATTCAAGGGCTAGCAGTCACTAGGGAGTTTTCTTAGGAGCGCAGATGTGTTCATTTGTTAACGACCAAATCAGGCCCACAAAACTGTACTCCTTCAGAAATATGGGTTTCTAATTTTTGCACACTTTTACACCTACTTCCCTTGATTTTGGAGAGAGATTCAGTCTCTTATTTGTGCCTGATCCTATTTGTTTAGATTCCAAACAGCTGTGTTTTCAGCACAAAAGCGATGCAGCTTAATATCTGACCTCAGAGACAGTGTCTTGTCAAAAACATTTCCTGCTTTCTTGCTATTATCTAATGCAATACATCCTTTGATGCAGTTTATATACTGAGAATGTTCACAGTGGAAGTTACTGTGGGGTTTTAGTCAGTTGTAGCAAAAGCTTCAATGTTATTTCCGGTTCTATTTATTTAAAACATCACTTTCTTTTCTCTGACACGATTTCTTAGGGTTTCTTAATTGTCCTAGTTCTATACTCTGACATTATTTTTCATGGTACCTATAGTTCTGTTCTTTAGTACCATTCCCCATGTACCCCCAAACCATTAGTTTTTATTCTCTGTCACTATTTCCTATGAAACCTCAATTGCCATAGGGTCCACTCTCAGGCACTATTTCACATGTCCTCCAAACATCTGTGTTCTATTCTCTGGCATGATTCCCCACAGTAAAACCCAGGGTTCTATTCTCTCACACCATAACCATTGTCTCCCAACCACCAGGTTTTATTTTATGCCACTATTTCCCTTTGTTCCCAACAGACCCTAGATCTATTCTCTGCCACTATTTCCCACGGGCCCCAAAAGCCTCAGACTCTATTCTGTCACTATTTTCCACACTAACCAATGAGAAGAGATTCTAAGCAAGACACATTTCTCATTGGTCAGCGTGGTCATGGTGACCAATTAGTGCTCGCCATTTGCGAGCGGAATTTGTAATACCAAGGGCTGCGCTGCTGTGTACGGTTAAAAAAAAAAAAATTGTAGAAATGTCACCAGCACACCAATCCTTTTAAGATAGAAAAGGTTAATTTATTGAAGTTTTTTGTCATATGACCAAACAGGCGCTTTCGGGACCGCACAGGGTCCCTTCATCAGGCTTTAGCATTGACGAGGGACATATCGGTAAGGAGTGCGACAAGGATAGTACTTATTGCTGTATACGGATAGCCGCAGAGTTCGATCCAAGGTAAGAGCAGCGGGAGGGGATATGGGCAGATTTTCGGGGGAAAGTGGAAATACCCTTTAAGTGCCCCAGGGTGTATTTTCTGCCACTATTTCCCATCTGCCACTGGTTTAATTCTCTGGCATTATTTCCCATACTCTCCGAACACTCCCAGGTTATATTCTTTGCCAGTATTTCCCATGGTCCTTAACAGCCTCAGGTTCTATTCTCCACCATTATTTCTCAATGACCCTGAACAGCCCCAGGTTCGATTATTTACCACTAATTTCTATAGTTTCTGTTCCCTGACATTATTTCCTATTGTCCCCTAACAGCGCTAAGTTCTATTCTCCACTATTTTCCATGGTCCCTAAACCACCACTGGATCTATATCTTTGCATTATTTCCTATGGTCCTAAAACAACCCAGGTTCTGGGTTTAGTTAGGGCTCATTGCCAGTGGTGGCAATGAGCCCTAACTAAATAGACAGTAAACAGTAACAATGCCCGGGAGTATGTGTAACAATACTAGCAATAATTCCCTGCTTCTGTAACCAAGGCACTGCATAATAGAAGGGGTGTGTGTACTAAACTGACCTTTAAAAAAATGGAATTCGGATGAAAATGTAATAACATAAAAAATTAATAATGGTCTAGGCTACTCATCGTACCTGTGCCATTAATGGTCTCCACACGGATAGGAATCTCCCACTGTTCATTGTACACAGGTCCATGATTATTAAGAAGAGTGTACAAAGCCTGCACAGTAAGCACAACCTGTGGACAGTACTTTGAAACCAGTTTAGAAGTGTTGGGATCTGAGGTCACATTCTGTTGAGGAATAATAACCAGCGATTAGTATTGGAATCAGTTTTTAATTCACCACACACCTTAGAATCTGACTGTACAATCTCCTTTAGATCTACCAACAACTATATAGTGAAAGGGGTTGCCTGGTTGGATAAAAAATAAGTTCTGTGGTTTTTGTAGGTCCGTATATTAAAAGGCAGCCTGCACAATACTACAGGAGGGGGACAGATAAAAGATCAGTCACCCTGTACAAGGAGAGAGAGTAGAAGTAATCAGTCTTAATTACAGGAAACATACACAGAGGCAAAGTGCAGGAATTGTTTTAAGCAGGATTACTGCACAGATCTGAAGGAAATATATAAAGCACACCAACATTCAAGAATTAATAACTAGGTCTCTTGTATTTAGACAATAATTGTTTAGCCTGGATTTCACCTTCAAACAGGATTTCCATTGAACGAAGAAAAATTGTTTTGTTCAAATTGGGTTAACACTCTGCATCATGAACATGCTTGACTTGTGACAGTAATGTATACACCCTTCCACCCCTTCTTCCAGACCTAGTTGCAGATAGGATAGGAGGCTTTGAAATGCGATGCCATTATGGGAACTCACACCTGCGATATAGGCACTGGAACGTACAGATGTGAACCATCTGTGCATTGTAGTGACCTGCATTGAATGATAGTTCAGGTACGATTTTTGCACGTTGAAGTGCACTTGCGAGCCACCCAGAATGAATAGGCGGCCTTAACACAACACCCTTCAAAGAACGAAAACACATGTATTAACGCAATGCATAGTGTAAAATGGTCATAAAAGAACCTAACAGTTATTAAGGGCCTGTTCACATGATTTTCAGGTCCTGATCAGGTGCGGATCTGCAGACGCGGTGCTACTCATGCAGTGCGCTTTTGACATGTTTTCGGTCCGGATGCTGACTACAGCAATCGGCAGAGACCGAGCTCGCAGGAGACGTCGTTATTGGGTACACCCGATCTTGAGGCTCCGGGACTCCAAGGGTCAGTTCTGGAGTTTATATGAGGATTTGCGAGCTCACCTGGATACATTTTTTTCCTTTACTCGTATGTCCATGGAAAGGTAATGGGCATGTTCAAAATGTTGCAGTTCATGTCTTTACCTTTACCTCAACCTGTCTGTCTATCTTTTTTTTTTTTTGCGCAGCTGCATTGCGTTCCGTTTTCGTTGCGTTTTTGCCACGTTCGTGCGTTTCCTGACCAGACAAAATGTGACATGCAGTATTTTTTCTGTCGTAACCTGAACGGACTGCGCACATGAGAACTGTAGCGCCTAAAACTCATAGGGATACATTGGGATGCATTTTTAGTGCAGGAGCGTACGGATCAGGTCAGCACAGAAAATGGACATCGTGTGAACAGGCCCTAAAGGTTAAACGGACTCATAAATTAATTCAAATTAATTAATTCTAATTAATTCAAACCCTGCCCTCAATGTTTTTTATTTTAAATATAAAAAACAAAATAAGATTTTTTCCGATACAGTGATTTAAGAAAACAATGTCACTCTGACAACGGAGAAGCCATTCTGCACACATTCTTAACACCACCACTAAAATGAACTCTTACCTTATGCAGATGCCCAGCCTTTCTCACTGGGGGCATTGTCTGGGATACCTTTTGATATGATGTTGGGAGAAGAATATCATGTGTTGGAAATTTGACTTTCACATAGTTTACTGATCCCTGGAAAAAATTAATATGTATCAATCAGTAAAACATGCAAGCATTTTAGGTAATTGTGTTTCATGCCTGTGTGTATTTTTTTTTGGGGGGGGGAGGGGGTGGGTTAATATCTTACAGCCCAGAGCACCCAAAGTATGCAAATATTAACTAAGTTTGAGTTTAGGCACCATGTCTCCTGCCCCTCACCAATAGTGAAGAGTAGGAGCTGTGTAGCTTTTTGAGCTCTGGGTAATATTTTCATATCTAAGCATGGCAATTTTTAGGGCTTCCGATTATGAGGGAGCATGTGACATTTTTCCTTCCTCCCAGGATGCAATCTTTAAATCTGGTTGGCCAATCACCAGGCTTGAACACTGTCATATGGGGGAAGGGAGCCGGTAATAAACCTCAGAGAACCAAGCATTAATGGAGAAATGGGACAGAATGGCAAAGGGGAAAATCAGTGGGTGGATGGAGGATCCTCCTGAATGAGCAAAGCAAAGTTGTAAGCTTATATTAGTATTAAACTCTCAAATATTTCTTCAATAACAAATCTAGGTCAAGCAAATATACATTGCCCAGTAAAGTATTTCTTTACATTTTTGCCCAAGCACTTACAGTCATTATGTTTCCAAACAGCTCCAACTCTCTCAGTTTGGCTTCACTGAACTTCTTGTCCAGTACAAGATCACAAGAGAGAGAGAGAGCAGTCTCCAGCAGCTGTCCATCTACTAGCTTGGGGAAGGGAGAACCAGGGAGCAGGGAAGTGGCTTACCTTGTTGTGCCTTTGTGTTTGTGGAGACACATACAGCTTACTAGCCCAAACAAGGGTGTTTCTATAGGCAGGGACAGTGTAATGTGTTTTGTTGCAGGCTAGCTGGGGACTCTTTTTGTGTTTTGTATTGTTGTAAGCCTTCCCATGTGCACCTTGCTACAAAGGCTGGTTATAAATTTATGAGGTCACCACCTTTTTCTAGTTTGACTATTTTTGATGTTGGGATGCACTGGGGGCCCCAGCGTGCATTTTGGATTGCTGGGCCTCCAGTGCCAGTGTGTCCCTGCACTTTTTGAGGAGGAGTGGGTTACCTCCAGGTACACTTGCAATTAATTTATCGACTGCATTAATATGCTCCAACATGGAGACGCACAAATAGCGTTAAGACCACACTTCACAGAGGAGCCTTGACAGGGCCGTGTGGGTTCTACATATTTTTGGCCAAAGGTTTGTGCAACTAAAACCTCTCCTTTTAACGCATACTGTCAGACAGGGTAATGTGTTTGGTTGCAGGCTAGCTGTCAAGTATGCTGGGGACTCTTTTTGTGTTTTGTAATGTTTCTATAGGACCTGCATGTGTAAGGAGCCACCCAAAAACAGGATAGCAGGGTCCGTGCTTAGGTGCCCAGTGTATTGTGCAGGAAACAAACATTTAGACATGAAGAAGCAGCATTTATTGTAAGTGATTTGAAATAGCTTAGAGCATTTTGGCTTTAATATCACTTTTAAGAACAGGAGGGAGTTTACTAGCTTTTAAAGAGTTATTCTACTTTTGCAACCAATTCAAAATGCAAGCTCCCGTGTTATTTTTATCCTTGATTTACAACTTAGCAACTCATTTGAGTCTGCTGTATTATATTATATTTAGAATTAATCTTTTACATGGAATAGACTCTTCTGGGTGCAGTATTAATAAACAAAGGGCTCATAAAGCAGGATGCAGAGCATGGATAAAGTAAGCAAATATGTGTGCCCCATGTACACATTTAATCTAAGCACGCAAAAATGTTTTTAACGAGACATTGTCACTTTGACCATTCAGTGACAGTGCCTTATGACAGCCCAACACACCTGCAAGGTATATTCACCCATCTGTGCACCTTCAGCACCTCCCACTCACATCAGAGATTTTGCTTCCTTGTTCTAATGGAGTGGGGCTTCTGGGTATGGGGCAGTATGTGATCTGCCACTTGTGACTGTGTTCAGGCTTGAGCAGCCAATCAGGCTGTCCCCTGGAGGAGCAGTGACATTGTTCTCACATAACCAAGAAGACTAAAAATCTTAAAGGCATATTTAAGAAAAATATTTAAGCTGCAATACACTACAATACAACTTCTATTTAGAAATTGTGATAGTTGGCCACCGGATTGTTACTGTTTAGCATCTATTTAGATTCAATGGTAAAGGTAATATGTCACTCACCATCAGATGAGTACACATTAAAAGAAACATAAAATCTAAAGCTTATCACCTGTACATAAATGTGCATCTGTATTATTTATCATTATAAGTGAAGTAAATAAAATGTCAAGGAATAGATAGAGTTAATAACTTCTGTGGAAGACTTAACTTCAGGATAGCAATGGCACAAATAACCCTGTACTTACATAAGTTGTAAGCAGGGCTGTCTCTAACGCAGGGAAAAAGGGGCAGCTGCCCTGGGCCCAGTCATTGTTGTGCGGCCCAAAGCAGCTGCCCCTTGAGCCCGCAAAGAGAGGAAGGGATTCCGGCGAGATCTCGACTTGTGGCAGCACCAGCTCCTCTACTCTAGGTGAGGGATGTGTGTGTGCAGTATGCGATGTCAGAGGGGTGCCTAGCTGAAATAACAGGGAAGCAAAACAAACAGCGGAGCCCTCTTCATCTGGCATGTGTCACTGGTCCAGACTACCACCACCACTCCTTGTTTCTGTCACTCCGCTGGCTGGCAGCTCATTATCCCCTGGCTGCTCGCCCTGGCATGGAGGGGAGGGGTGTGGCGTGTGGGGGCCCATGAAAATGTTTGCCCAGGGTCCAATTAATATTAAAGACGGTCCTGGTTGTAAGAAGACAATCTGAGAGAGCAGTGTCAAAAAGAATTGAAATAGCTCAGACAAATGAGGTTGGTCTCAGCTGTCCAAGTGCAGTTTGACTGTCTGTGCCAGCACAATAAAAAGGATGGAATCACCTGACACTCAGGGTGTATAGAGTGTGGCTCTCTAAGGTCAATAGGACTTACATATGACATATTCCTGCAGACCATCTTCTCAAAAGAGAATCACCATTTCTGCTATAAGAAGAGGCATCTGTATACGAGAACATGTTTTATCAATTATGTTTGTCATGGCCATCTAGCCTCACATTATAACTCTGGAATAGTTATTTGGAGATCAATCTGTTTTTCTTTTTCTGTTTTGTAATGTGCACATATCAATTATGTTTTTAAACATCTTTTATCCTTTGTATAATAAAATATTCTTGTTTTATCATGTGGTAATTTTTGGTCTTTGTCACTTGGTACCTAAAAAGCCCCAGCTCTTCTCTGCCTTATTTTTTTGTTACTTGATACATTAAGGGTGTGGTACTTTTTATTCAGAACCAACCTGGTCACGCTTATGTGACCTAACTATGCTGAACTATCAGGTGAGCCTAAAGCTGTATGTTAGTCAGAGCGCTAAATTCTTTGCTACTGTACTCTTGCAAGGGAAGAATGTTTATGTGTGTTTTTACTGAAGAAAAAGAAAATGCAAGCTTCGGAATGTTTGCATCATGTTTGGGTGTTCATGTCATTCAAAGGGTGTGTTTGTGGAAAGTACATTGAGTTCCAGGTGTCCTGCTACCCATTTAGTGGTTAACCTTTCACACTTGAAATTCATTTAAAGATGATAATGTGACAAGACTGGGCTTATTACCAGTTTAAGAAGACACTTCTCCAGATTCAGTGACAAGTCAGGAATAAACTTTCCTCCCAGGATGCTTGTCATGTCATGAACAGCATAGAGCTCAGGGTAGTTTTTCACATACGATTGGCAGGACTTTATCATTTCCTGAAAACAAGCAAGCATACATTTATACTAAATTCTGAAAACAGCATTACATAATCATAAATTGTTACTGGAGACATTATCCCAATGGTGTCTATGCACTTAAGAGATTAGATTTCTTCACTTCCTATTCAATTATTAACACAGTATTCAGAGTGCATTATTTTGTATCAAACCACCCTTCAGAACATGAATATTTGAAGCCAGGCAACACAGGTCAAGCCTTTCATATTTCATCTCAATAATGTGTATTTATTCACAACAGTGATGTTCCTATAACCCATGGGCTCTTCGCCTTCTTGTACCCATTCCTGTTTTGCTTTGCAAATTAAATTATTGTAACTTTGTTGACACAGGAAAGTAATATTACATTGGAAATATAAAAGTATGATAGCAATAATAACAAAACATACAACATATTGCCCTTGGGGTGGTGGTGCTTTTCAAGTAGTACAAGCTCACAGACCATTCATGTACGTACAGAACATGTCATACAGAAGTGATCGGGTGGTTTTGCAGCCAGCCATCATCACCTTTACCTATCAGCCGGGAACCTGCAGAATGGATCCAACACCAGCTTACAGCTCCTATTGCAGCCTTGAGTTTTTATTAACCCTTTGATTGCCAGAAAAAGGGTTAAAAGAAACCATCTTCTGAGAGAAATACTGAGGATGCCACTGCCAAGCTCCTTGTGACTGTTTCCAGCTTCAAATCTTTGATTCCCCAACTCAGAATAAGTATGCAGCAAGGAAAATCCGAGCTTCTCATTTGTATACTTGCTCTGGGTCAGTAACACAACCAGCACTGATCCAATGGATGAGCAAGACAACCAGGCATTTCAGATAGAATGAGAGGTCAGAAATGGCAACCCCCATATGTCTCTCAGCACAGGTTGCCATGAAATCCAGAAAGAACTACTTTTACTTGCAGAAATGTTGTAAACTGGTAAAGAAGTCTGCAAAGCTACATGTTCCCCAAACTACTAAGCACAGCCATGTGTAGCAGGGCAGGAAACCTGGATTTTCTCGGCTGCAGATTAATCACACTTGATTGGGCAGTAAATGGAGAAGCGACAGACTGACATGCATATCTGTCTCTCACTCTGCTCTCACCTCCTATCAGTATGTTCATTGTAAGCACTTCAGCTCAACTGATTTATCCCTCTCCCAGTCTGCGCTCTGCTGTACACTAGCTAAAGCGTAGATACAAGTCCGACCATCGTAAAATTATGGGCGGACGGCGGATCCTTCCTGGCGGGTGGACGTACATGTACGTGATTTTTTTCTCTGTGGGTGCGTGAGCAGAATCCGGCTGGGAAAGTGTACAGCCTTTACCGATGTGTGTACAGCGTTCGGTCGGCTGATCGCTTGTACAGCCTCACATGGCGCGTCGCCCCCCCTTCGTTGCCGATTATCCCGGGCACCGCTGTCCCCCCTGCGGTGCTCGGGACCGAGAACAACGGCTCAGCGGCTGCTGCTCATAGAGAGAAGGAAGAGAGATCAGCATTTCCCCCACTGCTGCCGATCTCTCCCCCTTCTCTCTCTCTCTCTCTCGTCGGAAGTCGGAAGCGATGTCTATTACATTACTACCGCCTTTAGCTGTCATTTCTCTGGCTGAGAGCCAGAGAAGAAGCTGATGAAGCAGATCTCTGCTTCATCAGCTTCTTTGGGGGTCCCTAGATGACATTAGGGGTCTTGGGGACCCCTGATGTCTCCATTTTATTTTCTAGCTATCACATTGGGGGCCCTTATGTGATAGCAATCAAGTTAAGTGTTAAAAATATATATATATAAAAATGTATTTTTTTTAAAAACACCCAAAAAAGTTTTAAGTCCCCTGTGCGCGTGCACGTGCGCACACACGCACTTATACACGTAAATATGCGACGGGTGCGCCTACGTGCAAAAACAACGATTACGCCACACATGTTACATATTGCCGCAAACATGAGAGCAATAATTCTAGGCCCATCATTCACTGATGACACCTAACTGATGAGCGGTAAAAGCTTTTAAAGGGTCACCTATGGCCAATTTTAGGCATGCTAAGTTTTTGCGATTTTTGTGGGCGCACACAATTTTAAAGCTTGACGTGTTTGGTGTCTATTTACCCGACGTGACCCTGTCTTTAATATTTTGCCAAAAAATTGAGTAATAATAAATGTTTTATAACGTAGGGAAAACAGGGTTTTTTTCAAAACTTTCGGTCCTTTTTTCATTATAAAGTAAAAAATAAAACCCCCAGTGGTGATTTAAATACCACCAAAATAAAGCTCTATCTGTCCCTAAAAAATGGTATAAAATTCATTTCAGTACAGCGCTGCATGACAGAATAAATGTCAGTCAAAGTACCGCAGCGCTGAATACTAAAAAATGGCCTGGACAGGAAGGGGGTTTTACACCGCGGTCATCAAGTGGTTAACATACTAATGCTGTTTGCATCAATAAAAATACATTTAATGGAATATTGATGAGTATAGAGCTGCATTAGTTTGCATCTTTTATATAAGCCTAGAGTTAAACTCTAAGACTAAAGTGATCACTCATTAAAAGGGTTACTAGAGCACTGTCACAAAATGATTAGTGCTAGGTTCATACATCAAACATCTCACTGGGGTGAAAGAGCTCTTTCTCTTCCTGCTAAAAAAAAGACCTAGGAGCAAGTAGTGAACACAATAATAATGGCCCCTATAGTGATTATACATAGTCTTATTTTACCCATATATTAAACCATTTATTCTTCCAAAAGAAAAACAATTGTACTTACAATCTAATGTAATGGTGACTGTTGAGCTACTCTTTCACAAAAGGTCTTATTTAGGTATAGCTGAATTCTTACCCAGTCAGCAGTTATCTATGTTATGTCTATTCACGCTTCCCTTTTACTGGATCTGGGAGCAGAAAGACATTAGCAGCGGGGCACTTACCTGGATGTATCTTGTGGCATCTGCACACAGCACATTGTAATCCTCAGCACAGCTGCGTGCCGCATTCTGGAGAAATTTCTGGAACTCCATATGTTCACTGCTCAGCTTTAATTTCAAGAACTAAATGAGGTGGAATAGTAAAGACATGTAAAGAACAATAAATGCACTTTAAAGGCTGGAGATGATCTTTAAAGGAAAGCATCAACAACAATAAAAATGAGTTAATTAAGAATTGTTCATACTATCAGGTTTCCTTTTTTTGCTAAGTGACTCCTTTAATTCAAGCAAAGTATTGATAACTGGAAAGCGACTACCCATGGCAACAGTTTAAGTTGTCTGTGCAAATTTCTAAGACAGACTGTACCTCATAGTGACTGTATTCCTTCATCTGTAAGGCATTGACACTATTCTTGGTGCTGTTAATAAATTTAATCATCAGTTTCACATAGGTATCCTGCTCCGAAGCTGTGAGTAAGGAAGGGCGAGGGTATGGTACACGTGGTTCTGGAAAGGGTGGAAAGTTTTTTTTAGGAGGTACACAAACAGATGACTTGCTCTCAGTGACAGGAGACTGAAGATCTTGAGTCTCTGACTTGGCTGGTGTAGGATCAGGTTCTGCAGATGCTGGTCTGGAAGAAAAATAGGAGAAACACAAACTTAAAACAAAAAGTTAAAGCAAACCTGTAATTTACCCTTCCTAGCTCAGCAACATGTTTTCTTCATAGGATCCATCATTATCTGTATGTACTTATGTTCTCAGCTCTTCCCTGAAACTTACCTGGTACCTTCAAGAATGGGACTGATGTGATATGCTTTCCTGCCTCCCCTCAATTTAGCACTAGGCACCTAAACAGAACGCTGATATTTCCCTTTTGAAACAAAAAGAGTTTGAGGACACCGAGTCCTCAATCTCTCTTTTTTCTGGAGGCCCTGCACTCAATGAACATGTCCATAATCATGAATAAACAGGAAATGATGTAGAGCACTTCCTGTTCATTCAAAATTGGGGACACAGTATCTGAACACTGTGGGGGGGGGGATCTATTAAAACTGGAGCAGATAAAATCTGGAGCAGTTGCCCATTGCAACCAATCAGATTCTATCTCTAGTCTGTTCAGTTAAGATTTTAAAATTAAAGAAGCTGATTGGTTACCATGCACAGCTGCTCCAGATTTTGTCTGCTCCAGTTTTAATAGATTCCTCTATGTCCTCAGTTATTTACAAACATTGTAGTGATCATTACGGATCACTGTGATGCTTGAATATTACAGGGAATGATCAGCAAATATTTCACATATTTGCTGATGGTCCCACAGCAGTCCTCCCTGCACTACCCCCACTGCTGACTTGGCCTTGTCACTGGGTGCCGGCAGGTGGATCGGTTCTGTGTCCCCTCCGATCCCCCCGCCTCTGCCAAAACCGGCGGGGGGGGCAGCAGGGATCAAAGGGGACACAGACAAAAACATGCATTGGGGAGTAGAGAGCTGTAGAGCAGCGGGAGCAGAGCCGATGCAGTGACTGTGGCAGGGGAAGCTCTCCTCACCGCTGGGCACCAGCTGCAGGGGGTCTGTGTACCCTCCGCTTGGAGGAGAGAAGCAGGAGACCCAGACCAACTAATTGAAAAAAATGAGAATCGTTGACAATGATTCTCATTATCGTCTATTAACGCTTAAATCGATTAGTTCTTTCAGCCCTAAAAATTTAACCCAAAACCAATACTTTGGAAACCTTGTAATTGCTTACAGAGTTGATGAATTCCTTTAATGGTTGATATCTGCCAAAATGAATTCCTTTATTCCCTCCCACACATCTATACCTTTTCAAAAACCAAAGTTGTAATGAGTATGTTAAGGTGCCCATACACCTGCCGATTATCGTACGATAATCGTGGGAAATCCCGCGATCGTACCATAATCTGCAGGTGTATGGAAGGCATGCGACCGTTTCTACTGTACAGTCGCACGTCTTTTGTCTCCCAAGCAGGCTTGAAAACCCGCCAAGAATCGTACGATTGTTGGTGGGTTAGTGGCGTTCTCGTGAGACAAATGCCGCACGGCCGGTGTGCGCAAGCGCGCACTGCCCGTGCGTCATTGGAGTCATTGGAAGCCCGCCCCTCAGCGCGGCGGGCTTTCGATGATCGCAAGTACAATCTGCCTGTCCAAGATGGGCAGATCGTACAAGCTTTTAATTACTTTACAACCATCGCATGACTCAAGTATGGCCACCTTTAGATTGGGGTTCCTTTGCTGTATGTTATTTTTTGCTCTATCATATTATTTATTATAAAATGAACAACTTTTGTACAAATAACTAAAGGTCACCTGTGTTTACTCAATGTCAAGTATTATCACTACTCAATCATTGCACACCTCTGATTAGTGAATAACGACCCTGTTCATTGTATGAGGACAGGAGAGAGTGCTCAGCCTTTTCCTTTTTTACAGAAAGACACCGAACAGCTAAAATACTCACAAACAGGAATTCAGAATTATGCTACGATTTCTCATTACAGCCCACAGCAGAAAAAAAGTGAAGTTACTTGAGCCGTGTAGAAAGGATGGGACATCGTGAGAACTTAGCACTAGACACTTCACAGCTGTCTTTTTAGATAGGTGGGGATGTCTGTCATAAGGCCAGAGCTGGGAAGCTAGCACATTAAATTACCATGGACAACAGAAAGATGCTGACTCAAGTGCTTCAGCCGTAATGAACGGAATGCAAAAGACCTACAATTATAGAACAGTGTCCTAGTAGAGTATTGTACAGTGTTAGTCCTCGATTTATGTGGAAAGTTTGGAGTTTAAGTGATTCCCTTCACTGGCTAATTTAAGTTATTAAAAGATGCAAGCGTTTGGGATGCCTTCTTTAGGTTTTATACCCACAACTTTATGTAGCGTTACAAGGAGGAGTAATAAAATATCAATATTTTAAAAAATACAACTATTTTATCTTGATAGTAAAGACGTCTGAAAGGGTTAAACTGGCCAAACTCTGCCCCGCAGCTGAATGAGATGAATTATATATTATATGTGATTAATTTTTTATATATAGTAATTTTTATCTTTTAAAATCTTTTAATATTTGGATTGGTTTATATATTGATATCCTATTTATTTGGTTCACCTGATATAGTCATAAGCGCAGATTATATATATCTTATTGAATGAGATGAATGCCTGATTACCCCATCCATACTAAACAGGTAAGGGCCCATCCACACCAGAGACAGTGGGGGGAATTTATCAAAGCACTCGCGAGTGTTTGAACTTGCACGGAATATATTTGCACCAGATTTATCAAGCTACTGTAATGATGTTGATAAATGAGGTTTAATAGACTGAAAGAAAGAAGACTTCTAACGTCAGGCAAAAAGCTTGACTGTCGCATCTTGAAGAAGTGGTCATGGGGACTTCTTAAGGCTCTGTTCACACCTAGGCGTATCGAATATGCGCGTTTGTCGCGCGTTTCTACCGCAATTCGCGGGGGAAAAACGTGCGACAAATGTGCGTTTCCGAGGGCTACTTGGCTGTATCCCAATGGAAACGCGCGACAAAAATGCCGCAAAGAAGCTCATGTACCTTTTCAGGCGTAGGCCGTTTTGTAGCGCGTTCAGACGGGCTGAAATACAGCAAGGTGTGAACCATACCCATAGAAAACAATGGGATTTTCATGTTTGAGCGTTTTGCAGAGCGTTCGTAGAGCGTTGAACACACGACAAAACGTAAAGGTGTGAACCAGGCCTAAAGGTGCCCATACACCTTACGATTATCGTATGCGATCGACTTTTCGTCCGATAATCGTATGTGTGCATTGCAGTGTCCGACCGACAATACTGTACAATCGTATGACTTTTGACGGTCAAGCATGTTTGAAAACTTTGCTCGATCGTACGATTGTCGTAAGGTTGCTGGCGTCTCCGTCCGTCAAAAGTCGTACGATGTACACTGCGCTTGCGCTAATGAAAATACGGCAAATCAATTACCGCATTTCGTCCAGGTGCTTTTGGTTAATTACGGCTAAATGATTCTTGCGATCATCGGGGCAGGATGGGGCTTCCGTACAAAAATCGTACGACTATTCGATCATCGGACGAAAAGTTTCGTCCTATAATCGTAAGGTGTATGGGCACCTTAAGTTATGAGTGTTTTCTTAGGTGATGCTCCACTTTCAGACAGCCCAGAACAAGTGCAGATGAAAACAGGTGCCAAAAACATGCAGTTGAAAAAGTAGTGCAAGCTCTGAAGAAAACTGGGGCACATGTTAAAAGACAGATTTGCACATAAAATAAAATGATCTAAGAGGCTAAAACTGTTGCAAGTGCTTTGATAAATTCCCCCCAGTGTGTTCCGGACGATTTTGGCCAGAACGCACTGGATCGCATTGCGGCTGACTCACTTTCTTGTGGGGCGTGGCGGTCCATAAAAGTGAATGACACCATAGCCACGCTCTCCAGTCTGCAATGCGATTGGCCACACGGAAAGGCAAGGCACATCAATGCCTGCGGTCCGGTCTGGTCAGAAAAAATGCTGCAAGCACTATCCTCATCTCAAATGGGAGTCCTTCTGATTTGTCCATATACCAGTGAAGCAACGATTAGTGAGATGCAACTCATTTTCTTGACACTCTTGAATAGTAATGTAGCTATATTAGTACTAGCTATTTCTGTAGGTTTGCATTAGGAGAGGTTAACAACACAGTTTGACTGTTTTCATGTGAATGAGTTGAGGCATTCAGTTTAAGTCTGACACTTTAAAGCTTTTTCTTTTTGTTAATTAGAATTTTCTGTAGTCTTTTGTAAGGCCTCATTCACACTGCTTAAAGTTGGCCTGTACAGATGCGTGCGGCGTGCACAGCCGTATCGGGCCGTTCCCGAGAAGGACATTTGTTGCGTGTGACTGTACGGAGCAGCTTGTTCTTCTCTATAGGGGTACACCGCCGTACACTCGCCTGAACTGCACATCCGTGCTGGTGTCCGTACACGGATGCAGACAGCAAGGATCCTGTCTGCATCCGAGCACGGACTCCCGCACGGATGTGCAATTCGGGTGAGCATACGGCCGCGTACTCCCATAGAGAAGAACAGGCTGCTGCATACAATCACACGCAGCACCTGTCCTTCCTGGGAACGGCCCGATACGGCTGTGCACGCCGCACGCATCTATACAGGCCGACACTTAGCTGTGTAAAGGAGGCCTACAAAGATAGTAGTTTTTCTGCCATGTAAGCATGGTCATTCTCCAGCGGTCTGGCTGTGTTCTGTATTCTCTCTACAGTCCACCTTAAACTGTAGCAAATTTAGTAGGGTTTTTATTCTGCAGTCTTTCAGAGCTCCTGGTGCATACATGTTCTGCAAATCTGCTGCAGTATGTGTTTAGAGTGGGGCTCCGAACATTTCATTTTATATGTGGTCAAGATGTCCTTGTCTTATAAAATGCAGGGTAAACTGGTGGTGGTATCTTGGAATGGCATTCTCTAGTATGGAGAAAGGGTAAATAATGAGAAACCCAACATGTAGGTCACAAGGCTAAAAGGAACTTTTTTTTACAATAGGTGTCGGGAGAGGGAGGTGTGGAGAAGGGTGGATCGCCAAGCTCACTCCTGTGATGGACTACAATCTCAATACAAACTAGTAAACTAAACATGAGATTGTAGTCCATCACGGGAGCGAGACCAAAAGTGGTGACAACACACACAGGGACCATGGAGAACAAAAGTAGCCCCCCTCCAGAAGGAAGGACAGTGTCACCACCATCTCAGAGATGATTTGAGGATCTGGAGCCGAGTGATACACAAATAAGATGCATTTTTGTTGATAGTTAAGGTACTTGAGTACTTAAGGTAATTGGATTTCTAAGATTTCTAAGATTTTAGGGCCTGTTCTAGTTTTTCTGTCGTAAGCTGAACGGACTGTGCACGTGAGAACTGGAGCCCATAAAACACATAGGGACACATTGGGATGCATTTTGAGTGCAGCAGCATACGGAGGCGGTCAGCACACAAAACGGACGTCGTGTGAACAGGCCCTAACTCCCGAGTTTAGTGTCACTTTAACTACTGCAGACACCTACAGGGTTATTCACTAAGCCGCCGGAGTGCAGAAGGACTTCGACTCAACATCTGGATCGGCTGAGCCAAAGCTCCGGCAGACCACTCGCTGCCGTTCGTCCCTTTTCACATAAAAAGTGAGAGAATAAACGAATGCCGATGAGCGGCATTTGGCTCGGCTATTCTGCTCGGTACCTCCTTGGTAGCGAGCAGAATAGAAAATCAGTGAAAATAGTCGGAAAAAAAAAAAAGTTGACATTTTAAAAAAAAGGAAATAAAAATAGTAAAATTTTAAAAGAAAGATATTTTAAAAAGAAAAAAAAACAATTGGGTGGAGCTAGCAGTGACAGCTAGCTCCGCCCAACTGTTTCCTATTGGTCGGCACCTGCTAGAGTCTTCTAGCAGGTCCGGCCAATGAATAACTGGTGACCTCACGGCCGGCTCTGCCCAGTTGTCATTGTTTAATGACAGTTAAGCGTGCCCAGGTCATTTGGGGACGCCGATATGTCATTACACCTGGGTGGAGCCAGCCGTGGTCCGCCCAGCCATCATTTACAAGGTGAACGGCGAGCCGTTCTCCACGCACCGGCTCAGTCGAGCTGAAGCATATCTCCTCGGCTGCTGTATGAGCTATAGTGAATAGCCCATACAGCAGCCATTCAGTTGAACTGAACCGAAAGGCTCTGGCGGCCGAGGCGAGACGAAGGATCAGCCGAAGCTACAGCTGGATCCTTCATGAATAACCCCCCTTAGTTTTCTACTATAAAATCTACAACACAACTTTGGACCTCTCCTAGAGTTCAAGAGGCAAAAAAACAAGCCCACAAATAAGAATACATGCATTCATTAACACATTTGATACATATAATGTTAGATGCCTGAATAATATTTTACTTGCAAAGCCACAAACTATTCGTTGCTTCGAAAACTGCTTCAGGGTGTACAAAAACGATTCAGAATATATGTTAAAAACTTAATAAAGTGAACAAATGGATTAAACAAAGATATGGGTTCCAGAAAGTGGATTAAACAAACATTTATTTCTTAAACATTAAGCACAGCACAGAAAGGTTAGAGCCTCTGTTGGGTTTTATTGCTGTCTCTGGTCTCCCACGCAGACACAGAAAAACAAAAACAAATTTTTAGTAGAGGAAGTGTTGAAACCTCTGGCGGTGTTTATTTGTCTGCCTCAATGATGACCGCATCCCTCGTTTCTTGTACAGGCCTCACAGAAACAGGAAGTGAAGGAAAATCTCCCCAATGGGCTCACAGAAACAGGAAGTGAAGGAAAATCTCCCCAATGGGCTCACAGAAACAGGAAGTGAAGGAAAATCTCCCCAATGGGCTCACATACAGAAGTAAAGACTCTTTCCCCACTCTTAGGATTTAAAGAACTCCAGGCACTCTGAAAATTAGCCCTTGCAGTGGGGCTACCCCATGCACTGCAAGGGTTAACTGCTCATGCTGACCTAGCTAAAGAAAATATACTCACCTGATTCCTCTGTCCCATTTGGCTGCTAGACCGGTCACATCAGCCTCTTCTCCCACAGGCTCTAGCGGTCTAAGGACCTGTGACCTCAAACAATTTATCCCCACACAGCTACCTCCTCATGTATCACTTGCCCCTCCCTTTTAGATTGTAAGCCCTCAGGGGTAGGGCCCTCCTTACCATCTTGTCTTGTGATTGTAATGTCTTGATTATATTGTAAAGCGCTGCGCAAACTGTTGGCGCTATATAACTCCTGTATAATAATAATAATAATCATGTCTATTGCAGGTGCATTGGAGTTGAGGACGCCAAGCGACACTCTACCCCCAGAATGGAGGGGGAGAGAGGCGAGTGCTGACTGCAGCAGGACTAAGGATCAGGTGAGTACATTCTGTTCATTCTGGCCCCTTTGCCAACTCATGTGACGAAACATCACAGTTACATTTAAGAGATTTCAAGCAAACTCCACATTGAACAATCAGATATCAATATTTGTTGATTAGGTTTAATCTAGCTGAATTTTAAATTTAATTTACTATACTACATAGAACGTTGCACCATATAGACAGTCCCTTTTTTATGTCAGAGTGAGCATAGGAAGAGAGATGGATGTAACCATTGTATGTACCAGAAATCTGATGACTAAAACATAGACTATGTATGAATAAAAACACAAATAGGATACGATTAGCTAAACGTAGAAAACAGTTTAACGCTTACAGTGTGACAAAGAAACAAACAATGATTTACTTGTTACAAAGGAGTAAAAGTTCAGTGACCGTGGGGCCCAGGGAATATTTTTCGTAAGACTCTCGGGTGAAAAAACTATTTCTGCCATTGTGAGGTTCAATATCCCTGTAAAGAAAAAGAAAAAGAAATTCCAAGTTAATATACAGAAGACTGAAGACCAAAGTCCTGGCTAGGGGCGCATTACCTGTGAGAGTTGTTAATAGCAAGTCTAACATTCTACCAGATATGGCAGTGCCATTTTCTTTCATAAAATAGAAACATGAGAAGAGCTATTCCAGAAGCGTACAGAGTTAGAAGTCTATCCTGACCTTTTTAGAACGGTCTCCCATCCCCTGGATCTATAGTGTGTGAAGGCAGATTTTGGATGATCTCTGACCCACTGACAATCAGTCTCAGACTAATCAGGTAAAACCATATAAAAAGGTGGTAAGGGGGAGTAAAAAGTCTTACGCTGCCCATACACCTATAGATTATCTGCAGATTTTCTATGGTCAGATTGGGAAAGTGCAACAGATTCCTTCATCTACGCTAAACTGTGTGGATGGAGGAATCACCCACTGGGCCAAGCTTCAGTATCTTCCCAGTCGGCCCCGCTGGCTGTCCAATCACCTGAACAATCTGATTGGATGCAGGCATTGTTCAGGTGTTTTGACAGCCAGCTGGGCCGACCAGCAAGATACTGAAGCTTGGCCCAGTGGGTGATTCCTCCATCCACACAGTTTCGCGTAGATGGAGGAATCTGTTGCACTTTTTCCATCTGACCATAGAAAATCTGCAGATAATCTATAGGTGTATGGCCAGCTTTACAGTTATATGTATAAAAGGCTAACTGTTCAGATCTGAGGATACATCAAGTCTGATTATGACTGGCTCTTTAACATAAGCCCATCACAGTTTGGCTTGGCAAACCAAACTGAACATATTAAGAAGACATGCATAAGACGCTACCTTCATTAAAAACTTTGTCAAAATAATACAAAGGTCCATGCAAATCTTGACCATTTCTGGAAGAGTTGAACTTAGCGCTGTCCCCTTCTGTGCCTCCCTGTGGGTCCACTAACCCGCCGATTACATTACAGGTGCAATAGGGAGGATCTGAAAGCAGGAGCGGGTACAGCCAAGTTGAACTTTTACAGGGAAAGCCAGAAATTGCATAAACATCAGCACTCTTTCTGGAATTACAGATTATTTGACATAGGGTTTTGGGGGATAGCAATCTACATCTATACAATTTTTTTCATCAGACGTCATTTTATGTTTCCCAAATAACCAAATCTAAAACTACCTATTGGTATAACAATTGGTATACAATGTTTTAAAATTATTAAAGGGACACTTAAACGGTGAAAACTTAAAAATACATTCAAGTACCCTATTAACATAAATGTATCTTATTTGTGTATCACTCAGCAGTAGATCCTCAAAATCATCTCTGAATTGGTGCTGACACTGTCCTTCCTTCTGGAGGGGGCTACTTTTGTTCCCCATGGTCCCTGTGTGTGTTGTAAAGTACCCACTGCTCCAAGCTCGCTCCCGTGATGGATTACAATCTCACATTTACTAAGATTGTAGTCCATCACGGGGATGAGCTTAAAGCAGTGGGTACTTTACAACACACACAGGGACCATGAGGAACAAAAGTAGCCACCCTCCAGAAGGAAGGACAGTGTCAGCACCAATTCTGAGATGATTTGAGGACTGATGATTTGGTACATAAAAAGGAAAATTTTTGTTAATAGTTATAGTTAGGGTACCTGAATGTATTTTTAAGTTTTAAATCCTCATGAGTTTAGTGTCACTTTAAAAATTATTTAAAGATCTACTAAAATGAATAAAGATTTAGTGGCAATTTTAATCATTAATCTCCTGATTTTAAGGGCCGATACACTGACCACCACTTGTCTACATGTATCCAATTTGCAACCATAAGCTAAATAAATAGAAAATGTATACTTCAACAGAACTCAAGTTTCGTTAAATTACAGCAACAGCTCATAAAGTTCTACCAATTATCGCATTAATGAGACAATCCATACAACAAGTGAAAACATTTAGTACTAAGCTAGTGCTAGCCAACCAATACTATAGTTGTGCCAATGCCAGAAGGTTCACTCAATTCACCCTGATTTCTTCATAATCCAAGGCAACCAGATTTCACACAGCTCCTTATATGTTAAGTAGAAGGTGCTTCTTCCTGAATTTGTACTGTGCACATTTCTCCAGATCTATCACGAATCAAATTCAAAGCTCCAATGCGGGTGAATCTGATTAGTGGCTGTGACAACAATAGTATTAACATTCTGATAGACCCGGCTTTCTGTATTTAAGAAACATCAATGAAAAAGAGATCTGTGAATGGAAAAACTACAAGTCCCATCTGCCAACTACAAGTCCCATGTCATAGAGACTCCCAGATCTGAATAGAGCACGTGACAAGTGCGGTGACATTAGCATACTCGTAGCCCTTTCCTTACTTCCTTTACCAGTAGTATATACACACACCAAAGTATTGGGACACCACTCCAAATCATTAGATTTAGGTGTTACAGGAAAATTTGGTGGCTACTAAATATTCCACGGTCGACTGTTAGTGGTATTGTAACAAAGTGGAAGCAACTGGGAACAACAGCAACTCAGCCACGAAGTGGTAGGCCACATAAAATGACAGAGCGGGGTCAGCGCATGCTGAAACACACAGTGCCGCCCGGAACGCATTGCATATGATGTGAACAGGCTATGTTTAAGTCCTCCGCCCCCCACATACACATGCAGATATGCGTCGGGTACACCTACGTGCGAAAACAACGATGGTGCCTATTGTGCCGCACATGTTACATACAACCGTGAACGTAGGAGTGTGAGCAATAATTCTAGGGCCATTAATTACTGATAACACTAAACTGATGAGCGGTAAAAGCGTTTTAAGCATTGCCTATGGCCAATTTTCAGTGTGGTCCTTTTTTTGCGATTTTGCAGGCGCACAAAATTTTAAGGCTTAAGGTTATCACAGATACAGGTACCTTGATTTCAGGACAGTGGTGGAGCGCCAGAGCCAGGTCCCAGCTGCAACCGCTGCAAACCTGGTAGTTCTTGTGAAAATGCCGAGTATCTGCACTGGTATCTGAACATCCCTAGTCTGCAGGAGTGTGAGCACTGCACCCACAACACAATGATCACAGTGCAGTTGCCCTGCTGGCTTCAGTACAGAAATGCACTTTTTTTTATTCATGTGGGTGCATTTTAGATTTTTGTAAATGCTGGACAATGCCTTCAAGTGACCGCACCTTTAAAGGGACATCATTTATTTATTACAGGTATTTATATAGCGCTGACAATTTGTGTAGCGCTTTACATAGTATCATGCAATTTAACAATGTGTACTCACCCCCTGTCTAAGTCCTGGTGTGGAGGGTGATATCTAGTGCTAGGTGACAGTAAGGGAGCCGAGCCTTGTAAGTATGAATGGACAAAGTGACATGGTGTCTTTAAATGTGTAATAAGTGAGACAGAGGCGTGAATAGCAGCAGCCAGCTCTGTGCATAAAGAATTGGATCATGTTGGAAGGTGTACAATTATAACTGTGTAACAGGCCTGTGTGCATACAGATTAATAAAGCACCGAGGATGCGTATGCCTTATAATAAATGGCCCGATAAGAGGCCAGCTCCTGTCACATGAACGACAAGCTGCTCCCACACTTACCATTTCAGCTCTCCAGCCGCCTCCATTGCTGCATATGACGTGCGGCGCACAACATCTTACGTCATCGCGCCATGGCAACCACTATCACCGGCAGCTGACATTTGCCTTTCACTTCCTAGTCTACCGCTGGGGAGCTGCAGCGACATCTAGAGCACAAAACGCTAACTGCACTCTGCTATTCTGGACACAGCCACTGTCACCCTTTCACCTATGTGTTCTATTTCTTTTCTTCCTCTCCTCTTCCTCCTTTACTTTGTATTTCACTTGCCTCTTTTGCTGTCTTTATTAACTTTGGGACCTTGTGCCAGAAGGGTTTCTGTACTTTCTTCATAGAGGAAATGCAAAAATCAGTGTTTATTTTTTGCTCCGCCTGCTGTTTATCATTAAAATGTTGATTTTATTTCAGTACCAGTCAATTGTTTCCTTGTATTCCCCTTTTATAATTTTACAGAGAAACTCCAGCCAAAGGTTTTTTTGTGTGTGAATAGTGTGTGTGTGTGTGTGTGTGTGTGTGTGTGTGTGTGTGTGGGGGTTCTGTCAGGTGTGTATTGCTTAGACCAAATAAAGTCAAATGAGACTCGACAAATGGGACTTTTCAGGTGCCGCATGATATAAAGACTTATGTGTAAGAAAAAAAATGATGTATTATTTATCATAACTTTAGCATTTGCACAATGGACTTTGTTTCCAAAAGTAATACTTATGTCCAAACACTCATAACCTGTACAAAATACTGTAAACTTGTTTCCAGGACAGCTCATTCCCCATATAATCCAGTCTTTGCATAACTACCGCCAGGTGTTCTATCCCCTTTTTACAAATCATCAGAAAATGGAAATATTTCATTCTATGTAGTACAAAAATCTTCTTTGCCATAGTAGATCACATCCAATGAGTGGGGAAGAAGCACACCAAAGTGCCTTCAATGCATTTTGCAGACTAGAGTGTCTGCTTCCTCAGGAAGTGCGGTAGGTATATATCAAGAACAAGAACTGTAACAAATATAAAAAAAAGGAAACAATCTTAAAAATTAATTTCTCACATCTGCAGAAGCCCAGAGGAGATTGGTAGGTCCACCTCTAACCACATCACAATGGTTTTGTTTAAATTCTGCTATCGTATAACGTCATGGAGCTATACGTTCTCCAAGATGTAAATTGCTATTTGATTGTAAGGCCTCCCAGTTTTAAGCATATAGTTTATAGATTGCATTACCATCCAAGAAGAGAAATGTGCAGCCTCAGCTTTACCATGCAGATGTGGCTAGATAATGTGCAGCTGAACCATTATGAAAGGTGCTCCAACATACCAGCTTCCTCAGTCAAATTCCCCAAGAATATTCTCTTGGGGCCTTGGTGAGGCAGTGTGGCTTTCATGTATATTTGCAAATGTATGCAAGTAAAACTTGTGCTTTTAACACAAATTGTTAAGCGGTATAAATCTTTGTTTTTCTTTTGGCGGCAGTGTATTGGGAAATTATGTATTGTGTTTATTTTGTGAATAGCTCTTTCATGTGCACCTTACTTTAAAAAGCGTGTTCATCAAAATTGATTGGAGCTGTTGGTATATTTGTTTAGCTTCATGGAAATCCTTCCCAGATGGACACAGGAGGCAATCAAATCTTGTCAGACTTTGTGACCTTTTCCCACTGTATCCAAAACATTTTTTGTCCTACAGCTATCAGTTTTTGATTAGCATTATAATTGTGTTCATTAATCTAAAGGCCAACGCTGCGTTGTATAAACTCTGTATATAAGACTATGTTTGTACTCTCATTTGTGCCCATGCTGGGACCTTGATTAATAATGAGTGGAGACCCAAAGGACGGAGCAGGACAAAGAAGGCCAAGAAAGAGGAGAGAAGATGCAAAATAAAAAATGCTGGCCACAGAGTCAAATGTTATTTTCTGTTTCATTTCTAAGATCAACAATTTTTACCAACCAATTTGTAGCGTGAAGATTAACCAAAACAAAATGGTCAACTTCCAGTGACACTATGATCAGGAGTTAAAGCTTACAAATGCATTGAAGTACCTTAACTATTAACAAAAATATATCTTATTTGTGTATCACTCAGATGTAGATCCTCAAATCATCTCTGAATTGGTGCTGACACTGTCCTTCCTTCTGGAGGGTGGTTACTTTTGTTCCTCATGGTCCCTGTGTGTGCTGAAAAGTAGTCACCGAACCAAGCTCACTCATGTAATGGACTATAATCTCATGTTTAGTTTACGAATTTATATTGAGATTGTAGTCCATCACATGAGGGAAAATAAATAATAAATTACTCCTGTGTGAATATTAAGTGCTATCTCCTTGCCCACCTCCCAGGCCTTCTCCATCACTGTTACAGATGATAATTTGACCTCACACTGCTGGGTTTGTGCTGGACACAGTGCTTTACAGGACAGGACTCCAACTTTTTCTATTTAGTACTCTAAACCATGTGAATGTGGCAAGTCTATAGATTCTATGGATGCGCAAAACACAGGCATGCAATTTGGAGTATATGGCTGGGGTTTTAAGGATAAAAGGGCTGGCCGGTGGAGCTACACCTTGTACAGTACTGTTTGGACCTGAGAAAGCCTGACAGTGTGAACTAGGATTATTAGGAAGGGAGGGAATGCAATGACTCTTTAAAGTTCATTTACGTGTAAGATGTTGACTAATCCCTTAGAGAAGCATACCTTAAATATACATTAAACTCAGATAAATGTTATTAAAGGGTATTGTAACAAGGACACTCCACTGTAGTCCAGGTAAGTCAAGGAAAACACAGTTTATTGAAAGGGCAAACACAAAATAGCTTGAAACAGCAACATAAGACAGTCTTTTAGCTTCGCTCGGTAGCTTTCCACAGCTTCAAGACACTCACGCTTGCTCACCCCTCGTGAGCCCTCACTCTGCTCTCTTAGCAGTCTGTCCGACAAGTCCCTGGGGTCACCGACCTTCCTGGCCTCTCCCAGCCACCCCTGGCTATTCCGTGTGCGTCCAAAGGCACCCGAGTTTGTCTGTGTGCTCCCTGCACACACACACAACTCCAACACTCCCCTGAGCACTGGGCTGGCTTCCTGATAAGGCTGCTCTCAGCCACCTGATTAGCCCAGGCTGGTCAATGGCAACACCTGGCCCCAGGACTGGAGATCTCATCCCACCCAGAGCTCTACGAAATCTCCAGAGCTCCAGATCCCAGCTACAAATAGGAAAACCTGGACGGACCTGAAAAGCCAGGTTCTTCCTTATAACGTGTTTCACATTCTGGACCCTCTCAGCCCCTCTGGCTGAGAGTCCTGGGTGCCAAAGTCGCCATCCTACACCGTGGCATTGGCTTACACTGCCACAGTATCTATGATGAGAAACTAAACATATGTATTTCTATATTGAATTTCCATTCCTATCGTACTCCTAATTCTGCAGCATTTTTGTCAGTCAGGGAACTGGCTGCCTATCCAGCCATCGAGGGAGCAATACATGTAAGCAGGTAAGTGTTTTCACTACACATTTCAGCAATTCGGTTGATGCCAATTGCTCATCAGCAACAGCATTGCTGGCATGACATGGGCCTTAGAAATTTGTAATTGAATATTTGGTATAGGGCTACTTATAAAAGCCTCATAGTAGAAAGCTTTGCATTTTTGTCAATTTCATTATGTATAATTAAATTATTGAAATTAAGGACCCACATAAAAACATTTAGCACAATGTTAAAGCAAAACTCTAGGAATTAACTTTTAAATGAATACAAGGCCTACTCTGATGGGATGAAGTGAATAATGTAATGTCATCCTCCCCTTCTGCCCAATGAGAGAATGCCTTGTATTCACTGAAAAAATACAAGGATTGCTCTGAATGGTGGCGGAGCTGAGCGAGCAATTCCCTGTGTTCAATGTGTCGAGGGGAGGCCATTAGAACAGCATCCATAAGATCACGGCTATCACTGTATGTAGTACGTACTATCCCTCTGGATATCAGATGTGGATACTTAGATCGAGCCAAGCTGACAAATGAAGGTATCCAAAAAAGAACATTCCTACAGTTCTGCTTTAATTATATCCTTCTGTGTGGTTTACCTGAAGGAACAAAGCTTTGCTGTGTCACAATGGTTGAATATGTTTAACTCTGTAGGCACAGATAATTGTTGCCCCCTAACAACCAGCCTACAAGAATAAAACGAATGACATTTGATTGCTACGGGTACCAACTTTTCTTAAAGAAGAACTGATGCCACTTTTGTTTTAGTTTTGAATAGTGTAAGGGAGGGTATAACCCCTGTCAGCATTTTTGTTGCCATCTGTGTCCCATTGGGTTCCCTTCACTTCCTGTCCAATAGCCACAACAGGAAATTAGGGGAAATCCCTCCAAAGTGAGGGCAATCCCTGGAGATCAGCAGATCTCCTCACCGCTTGGCCATGCTGCTGTGACAGTGGCTCCCTCCTCTGCCCCCCTTCATCGCTTCACTTCTCCTCAGATCCCCGCTGCCTCTGCCTATACAGGCGGGGGAGAGCAGCGGGGATCCAGAGGAAAAGCTGCAGGCTGTGCCGCCCCTCTGTGCGTGGCCGAGTGGTGGAGGATCGGTACAGATCAGTGATATGTACCGATCCCCTGTGTGCAGAGCAAACACTGGAGCGATCAGCTGATCACTCCAGTTTTGTACATAATTGGACACATATAGTACTATGTGTCCCCAGTTATGAATGAACAGGAAGTGCTTTACATCACTTCCTGTTAATTTATGTATTTCTGAATGGGTAGTAGCACTCTGTACAGAGGCTTCTCCCCATTCAGAAACTGGCAGATAGTAAATATTTGAATAATTTCTGAATGAATGGGAAGCCTCTGTACTTTCCATTCATTTAGAACAGTCTGCAGAAAAAGAGATTGAGAACTCCGTGTCCTCAATCTCATTTCTATTTTAAAAGGGAAATATTAGGGGGCTGTTTAGACCCCTAATATTTCCCAGAAACCCCCCAACAGTAAAAAAAAAAAAACAACAAATAAATAAAAAACACATCCTGGAGGCGGGCCGCATGGCATTACATGACGCCGCACATGCGCGGCGTTGGGTGAT